GATGTGGAAGGTAAAGGAAAGGGAAAGATTTAATGCTTTTCTTATATGCATTTTGGATGAGGAATTGCTTTTGATGAATAGTTTTGTGAAGTAGTACAAGATTGTATTTTGAATTTTTGGACCTTGTATTTGGTCATGATAAATTCTTGTACTAAGGGACCCAGATGTATATGAATATGTATTTCTTTGGTATGAAATATATGTATTACATGTAATGTGTGGGTTGGGGAGTTACAAATAGCCTCAAGCAGAGTAAGGATTGGTTTTCTTCTAGCATTTACCAATAGTGAGTTAAAACAACCACTAATGCCATTTTCTTCAGCATCACAGGCTCTATGCGTCTCAAAAAATGCACGAGACCAAGTACGAGGTGCTTTCTCCATAAGGTACAAATATGCATCAAGGTTGGCCGCTTTGATTTCACATGGGAAAAAATCAAAACAATTAACAAAAGCATAAAAGGACAGTTCTAACAGCTTAAACACATTTTAACAACTTAAAACAATAACAAACAGCTTATAACAACTTAAAAACAACTTAAAACAATAACAAACAACTTATAACAGCTTAAAAACAACTTAAAACAGTTTTGGAAGTTTAAATACCTTTGATTTCAGACATCACTTCTTCAAATTGTTGTCCATATGACGCTTTAGAGGCTGCCTAAAAAAGGTTTCTGAATTGTACACCACTAAACTTCTTCCTAAAATTTGCATAAATGTGTCTAGCACATTGTCTGTGTTCAGCTACCGGGAGCACATCCTTGATAGCCTCAATCAGCCCCTGTTTCAAGAAACACAAAGTTATTTTTTTGATTAAAAACAATTATAAGAGGCATAAAAAACACTTAAAAAGACGTAGAAACGGCAAAACAGAATGTACCTTATGTTGATCTGAAATCAAAGTTATACCAGCACCATCATTCAAATATAGGTCTTCTTTCAACAAGTTAATAAACCACGTCCAATTTTCTTTATTTTCAATATTCACCACCGCCCAGGCAATTGGGAATATTTGATTATTGGCATCTCGACCAACGACCGAAAACAGCTCTCCTTTGCTTATTGTCTTTAACAAGCATCCATGAAGCCCAATCACTCTTCTACAACCACTAATCCAACCTTATTTCAATCCTTGTAAACATATATAGAAGCCTTGAAAGTAAGTTTTCCCATCAGGGTTGACTTCAACACTCATTTTTACTGCAAATCCAAGATTGGTTCTTCTAATTTCTTCACCGTACTCCCAAAGTTTATCATAATGTTTCTTCATACCTTGCTCAAATTCACTAATCGCATGTGTCCTATCCCTAGCACATTGGTTGATGCTCACTAGACACTTGTATTTCTTCATCACAGCAAATTGCAAGTCCACTAACTTCATATCATGATTTTCCCTCAATCAACTGGCAAACTTCATATCATGCTCTTCTCCAATATATTCTTGTGTCACTAAACCATGCCCATTTTTTTTTTGTCTAAATTCAATTATTTCATCTTCACCTTCGGATATGTGATCTAAAGAAGGAGCATTAGAAACATCATCATCATCACTAGATGAACTATCACTATCATTATCATTATCATCTTGTCTCAAGTACTCTATTAAGTTTTCAGCAAAATCATCTAAATACACATCAATTATCTCCCTACTTTTGAGTCCATATTCAATCAAACTTTTAAAATCCATATTACATTTAAGCTTTCTTAAACCATTTTCTAAGCCCTTACCAGGTTTACAAAAATATATGTTTTCACCAATGTGTGTGTTTCATTCTTCAAAAAAGCAACAAAATCCATGTATTCCATGTTGCCAATGTCAAAAGTTTCATAAAATTTTCTCAACCCATTAGCATATTCAAGTGGCCGAAATACAAAAACACTTGTATAATGTACCTCGAAAGATATTGATGAAGATGTCATCCTGAAGATAAAGAAACATAAGGAATTTAGCTTATAGGATAACCTTAAAACAGACAAAAGAACCGTAAGTTGAATATAAAGAATCATAAAAACAATAAATGTACTTCCCAACCGATAAAAAAGTGATAAATATTGATGTATGTAAACTTGTTCTGACAACAACAGCTGTTTGTATGTTCGATTCCATATGTATAACCTTTGATTCTTTTATTCTATGCTAATAGATCCATGATATTGTAAAACTATAATTGTTCGTTAAACTAGCAAATGAAAATTAGAAGGAGAATCCCATCCTTAGGACATGCTAGCTGTTGTGTTTTGGAAACTGTAGTGTTTTGGAAGCATCCACCCTTCTAAACATGCTTTATGTGCTAATTGTGTATAAAGAGACTTTGCTAAAATGTCAAGTGTACTAGTGAGCTATAAGTAGAATCCATAGTTATAATGAGATGTAGAAGGTAAGTTTAGTTCTTAGACCTCACAAATGACATAATTAGATGATGTGAGTGTTCAAAATACAAAGTACATTGCCTAAATGGAAATCGGGTAGGTAACTAGAGCGCCTAAATGGAAAAAATTTACCTAAAACTCGAACAGATAATCTAAATGGTGATGTAAAGGTTGGAACACCTTTGAATAAGCTAATATGAAGTGTTAGAAGTGAAGGAAGTCGGAAAAGTCGTGTAGATTGCATTTTTATGCAAGTTTTACAAATTACGTTGCTTTTTCTGTAAACTACGTGCACAACACTCAAACTAGAGGTGTTTGATGGGATGTTAAGATTTGGAACTAAGTTTTGAACCTATTAGGAGTTGTTGTAGGTGTCGGAAAATGGTGAAATGGTGAGACCAGTGCTATGTGAAAGCTAATTTACTCTAGTTTAATTCATCTGTAGAAGTCATTGAGCAATTTTGAGGTTAAGTGGGGTAAAACAGGGATAGAAAATAATGTTGTAATAGGAAAATTAAAGTATGAAARTTAACTAGTCATGGAACTAAATTGAGTTATATGCATCCAATGCTCATGAAACTTAATGTACATACTCCAAGGGATATTTGGAGCTTGTTTGGTGCTTCTGGAAGGTATTTTAGTGTGTAAACACGAGGTTGGTAGTTGAACAAGAGAAACTGAAATAGACAAATTAAACATAGATTATCTTCTTTTTATTAAACATAGATTATCTTCTCGATTAAACTTGAACATAAAAGCTCAACTTTTTATTTTTTAATTATCTTCTTTTCCTTTTCACTTGATACTAGTTGAACAAGAGAAGACCTTGGTAGAAAAACAAGACCATTTACGGAAAAAATACAAACAGGGGATATTGAATACAGGGAATAGAACCATGATCATGTGAATGTGGGAAAGAACTCAAGTCTGTGATGATAAACTCTATTGAATTATTATATGACTTGTTGCAACCAATTAATGCACAGTTTAACTCTACAATCAATTAGGGTGCGTTTGGTATGCTGGACAGGGTGGGACAGGACAGGACAGAACACATTTGTCCTACGTTTGGTGTGGCTGGATATGGAACTAACTAGGAATAACTTGGACAAACATGGGACACGCGTGTTCCACCCTACACCCCTAGAACTAAGTGGAACTCAATTCTTTTTCCCTCTTTACCCTTTTTTTCACCCGGCTTTCACATGAACCCTCGCCTCCATCGCCTCCATTGCTTCCTCCCCATCGACGGCGATATCTGTTGACGGCGAGCTCCAATCGACGGACGGCGAGCTCCAATCGACGGACGGCGAGCTCCCCATCGACGGCGACATCATCGCGACTGTTGCTTCTCTTCTCTCCATAACCCTTTTCATCGCCTCAAATCCCTAATCCGATTCATTCTCAAAACTGYATCGCCCCCTAACAGGTATGTTCTTAGCACAAATTGTAGTTGTTCATCGRCTTTTCTTTTGATTTATTACTTCAATTTGGACATGGGTTTTGTTTCTTGATTCATCGCGACTGTTGCTTTTCTTAGAACAGTGGATTTTCTTTATTCATGGCTATGTAAATGTTAGCTATGTAAATGTTAGCT